GCTTGATGGGGTTCTGCATAGGGTCTATTGTGTCATACATATAGGAAGTGACATGCTATATACCAATGCATCAACACATACTACATACTACTAAACGATATGCTTAGAGGTGTGTTTGTTTTTCCAATTAACAAGTTACAGCAGTGTGCTTTAATGTTATTATCATGTGTGTAGTTTTAAGTATCCCCTCTGCATTGCCAACGAAGGACCCTGAAGGGAATAAATTAATAAATAACATTTTCACATCACTGGAGTTGGTTTTCGGACGCACCACATGTTCAGGAAAGGTTGAACGAGTGCAACCCCATGCAAGAAGTCTGCCAGTCTGGTATGTCCCATTCATTAATATTGAAGGGTCAGAGATGCGAGTGTCCTCGTAAGGTCCAGAGCGTGCAGTGAACACAACTCTCGGTGTATAGACTCTCAAGGCGTGAAGGCAAGCGGAAATATGTTTATCTGGTTAGTGTATCAAATATGTTTATTTCCACTTGGTCACATAATTATTGATTCTTAGTAAATGGTTCCATAACGAGTTCTTTCTGCGACAGTCTCGTGTCAGGCGTTCAGTCGTAGTACCTGTGGACCTTGTTGTCGGATGACGCTCCTGGCACGTCAGTGTTCAGTTTGGTCAAGTGGCAACTTTGACCGACTGATGCTGTCTTGTAATCATACGTCATGTGCGATCACTGACGTCCGATGCACTGAAGCTGCAGGGCTGGCTTCTAATCCAAAAATTTTCCTGGTAGTTTTCTGCATCAATGCAGCAAGCTCGGGCATTTATTGCTTACGTGGCTGTGCCTTTTGCTGTACCGTTGACTTGATAGCTGGCAACAATGTTTGTTTGCTATCCAAGTCTGGTGATGCTTGCAGTTCACTTTTGAGAGCAACCAACCATTCTATTCCTTCAAGTCACTCAGGGGCATTCTCCCTCAAAGTTGGAAATTCTGTGCCTCGTGGAGTGGACACAGATAATTGGTGTCAGCAAATTTTTAGGTATTGTCCTTGGACGACAACGGACCCCAAAAATCCACTTTCACTGCATTGCCGCTCACCTTCTTTGTCGTGCTTACATCTCGTTGAGGTCATGGACATCAGGAGCTTCGGGGTAATCAGGCATTCAGCATCTTCGATTCAGCACCTTCGGCATCAGGGACAAAGGTCGCCGAAGATAATCGTTAATCTCCCGTGGTCGCTCCTCAAGACGTGATTGAGGGTCGTTCGGCACGAACCCTCGCAGACCAATCCATTGGTACGGGCAGCTTTGGTAGACATGGTCGGCTTCATGCAGTGGTAGCAAAGTGGTTTTCGGTCGGCCATTCGCATCACCTACGTTTTCCTCGGTATACTTTGTTGAGCACAGACCTACACACGATGTCGGGAATGCTTCGGCATTGGAGTGTCTCACTGAATTGGCATTGAATACTAAGAGGCAGCCAGTGGCGGTCGTTGTGCCATTGTGGGGTAAGTTCCCTTGGTTTGTCAAATGCCGCTTCGCTCGCAGAAGTCTCGGTTGAAATACCTGTCAAACTTGTTCCGAAACAATCTCGGCAATCAAAATAAAAGCCGGGCAACTGATGGCAGGAAATAGCTTCCTGATCTCCTCCCAGACAACGTCGTGGATGATGTCGTGGATGCCTGGGAGGCTGGCGTCGAAGTAGCAGCTGGACAACTCGAGTGTCGAGACGCCGAGAAGTTGTTCATAGTGACAGGCTCGGGCATGCAGTGCACATTCAATGTTGGAAGCCTCGGTGATATGAACACTTCAACTGTTGTTGGGGGGTTACGGACAAGGCTGCCGAAGGTGTTGTCCCTTACATGAGGGGCATGGGATTCTTAGGTTCTTGTCTTCTGTAGCATCAAGGTCGGCGTGGGCGTGGGCGCTCGATCAAGCCCAAAACACCCTCCGCGAGTGCGGTGGCGCTCTCGTTGGGGCAGTGTCTTGGACAGAATCAAGAATGCGGCTCTCTCTCTTTGATGTTGGCTGACAAATGCGCGCTTCAGCTCGATCATGCAAACTTCCCATGACACTAAGGAGGATCCATGGTTCTCAGACCAGCGCCGGCAGTTTCTTCCACGAGAAGTATAGGTTCTGCAGGAGCTGGTTGTCTGTCCACCCAATGTGGTGGGCGACACTGTCATATTGTTCAGTCCAGTCCTTGACGTCTTCATACAGCTTGCGTGAAAAAGCGTCGGAGTGTGATTTGCGACGGGCATGCAAACAATGGTGGGAGGGGACGCGGTTTGCTGCTACAAGGTTGTCATTGTTGGCTTAGTCAGCTTCGGATTTTCTGGCAGGAGACCGAATTCCGGTGGTTTTTCCTGGTAGCAGCAACTGGCTCGGATTTCAGGTGCTTCGTGGTGTATTTCCGAGGTTACTCCTTGTGATACTCGCTCGTCTTGCGGTTGTTCTGCCAGGCTCGGGTTAGGACTTTGCTTACGGCTCGCCGGGGGTATAAGACGGAGGATAGTCAGCCACCCGTGTCTCATTATCGGGGAACTCGGCTGAGGAGCCGCCGGGTTCACACAGAGTGAGGGGCTATGGGTAAAGTACCCAGCACCTCCACCAGAACATACAATGACAGCCGAGCATAACCTGCAGTGTTCCAGAATAGTGAATATTGATAGAAGATAGGACTGGAACAAGGATTCGTGACAATATAACAAAACTCGCAGAAGAGAGTCTATCCTGACCACTGAAGAAGCTGCATTGCTTTAGTGGCATTCTGTCCGAATAAATCCTCTCCTTCGGGGTTTAGCGACTGCCGTGGACGAACTGAACTGAAATGGATGTGGGACCACTTTTTTGGTAATGAGCCACTGCAGACTGTTGCCATATTGCCATAAGCTGGGTAGGTAACACGCTCGATGAAATGTCCGTACAGCTTGCAATTCGCGTAACGAGTGTGGATGAAACGTTTGTGTTGACGAAACATGCGACAGACCAGCGGGATCAATACCAACTGCAACAACTGTGCTCCGTGAAAGTGCACGTCTACGCCGGAACAATTTCGGAAGCAGCACAGCATCACCTAAAGCATGGCACAGGAACTACCAGATTGAAGGCAGCTCTTCGGTGCGCCGCACACCTGTGCTCCGTGAAAGTGCACGTCTACGCCGGAACAATTTGGGAAGCAGCACAGCATCATTCAGCACGGCACGGGAACCACCAGCTTCAAGGCAGCCTTCCGGTGCGCCGCACAACCAAAGTGAGCCCTCGGTCATTTGACCGAAGCTGCACCACGATTCCACACCGCCAAGCACGACTCACGCAATTTCCGTCGCTAAACTGTGTATCCAAATATATTGCACACGCTTCACTGCAAACCTCGAAGGTTCCGATGGTCAACGAGAACACAGAAACGTCACCTTAAATTTTATCCTAGCGGTATCCGAATCAATCCGAGGTCCGAGCAACGTAGGTCAGATTGTCTCTTCCCTGGCAATATCCCAGTCGGTCACCAGCGAAATGCACACGGTCACCAGCGAAATGAACACCGTTCCTCCGTATTTTCACGTTATACCTACGTCAAACACCACGCTGAACTCTGAACACGCTTTCGACTGGCCTCATATGACGGCTTCCGCGTCTGAAATCAACTCGCCGAGACGAACGACAACCAACAAAGCATCCGACAAGCTCCGGCCCAGCTGGGGCCAGCCGCTGCATGGGCGCTGCCATCTTTCCTGTGACGTCACGTATTCGGTTTGGTCACGTGACGTGTGTTCAAATTTGCGTACAGTGGCAGCCGCCTTATAGGGGTCACTTCGAGTGCAGACCTGAACCGCGGTTTATCGCTCTAAACCCCTCTACCTCGTTGATCCCACATGGCATTGATATAGACGCTTTGCAGCAGCTGTGCATGGACGCCGCCATAACTGACCTTCAGTTTTTGTTTACTCTTATTTCGTTTATTTCACTTCATCATTACCATAGCAAGCCAGGTTATTGCCATATTAGATTCAACTGTGTCCTTTTCTAAAACATCGGCCTTTGTAAAGGATCGTCAACTACCGTTTCAGTTGCTCGGCATCTCGGTAAGACGAGAGAAGGTCAGCAATGGCGGCTGTAATTTGGCGCGTGTGTAAAGCGTCTATAGGACAAACAACCCCCTTGGCGCAATCAGTGAACTTGTTTCGGTGTTTTGTGCTCCACGAGTCTATATTTGACTTAGTTAATGATTTGGCGCAACAATCTCACCATCTTTAAGGTGCAGACAAAACAATCGATACAGAGTAGCGTTGAACAACTCTCTTTAGGTTGTGGATTACAGTGTGCATGTAGCGGACGACTATAACTTCTGAACCTTGTAACTGCAAGCTCTGAAACTTTGGCATCTCGTCCAAACCGCTAGCGCTACTTTTCGGTGAAAACAAAGCGTTTGGCGTTGCAAATATATATATTGTGACGTGTATACTTCACGATGTCCCCTTCATTCTCTTTCAGCGTGGTGGCCGAGGAAGACGAGGCCCGCGTGCCCTTTCCCCCGCCTCTTAAAATTATTTTTTAATTGGCTATGGGACCCGAAATTCAGAGACATGACTACTGTAAGTTACAAGTAATCTCAGACTACCCAATATAGCAACAGCAGAACAGAACTATGTGCAAAGCATGCTGATAACGTCGGCACGGTATGGGCAGCACACCTAATCATTCGTAACAGATCACACATACTTGTATTTCTCACACAATCTGGTGATGAAGCAGGGGACGTCTTTCTGCGATCATATATAGTGTAACAAAAAATAGCGAGTGTACAGGCGAAATGATGATAGCTATTCGTTTTGTGTAACAGCCGAGACTGTGTTGAGAAAAAAACAAAAAAAACTTCCAAGTCGTAGAAAAGAACACAGAGGAGAATATGTCAGTCAAAATTAAGAAAATGAAACAGGACGGGTTATTGGTGAGAGATGGCTAACCAAAAGTGTCGCTGTGGGAGGCATTGTCACAACTTAATCACCTACAACGATACCGGACGTTGAGTGAAAAATAAATCACAAACCATGCTTCGCATCCTCATGAATTGAGCCAGGATCATCGTCAGCAAGTCATTGATAGAAATAATGTAAATGACCGAAAACGACAGGGCGGCGTCGAGTGTTCGACTTGGGTCCAGGATTGTCAAGGAACCGAAGAGTATGATGAGCATCTAGAAAAAAAGGTAAAATAGATGTCAGGGCCTATACTCCGAATATGCTAAATTAAGATAATGTTGAGCTACAGTTATGCATGTTAAGAGATTTAGGTCGTAGCGAGCACCGAGTGATCTGCAGCCAACAGGATTGCGTCCTCAGCCGACAACAATGCCGAAGAACAAATCACAATGCAAGAAGCGTGTTCATAATACGCCACGCCACGCCACGAGTTCCTTAAGCTCTCAGTCACAATTGCAAAATCAAGGGGCAGAGCTTTGTATACATTTAATTTACATCTCGCGCATAAAGATTTCGGTAATTGAAAATTTAAGCGAAGTATATCCGCTATGACATTTAATAAGATCATTTCTAGAATGAAACTTTCCTTGTCATATTGTCATGTTCTTATAATTTCAACTACCGGTTCAAAAGGTAGTTTATGTTACATACCAATTAAGTGATTTTTTTTTGGAAATAAACAAAAACGCATTTTTGCTCTTATAGAAATTTCAAAAGGTCTGTCAAGGTTCTATACAAGTATATAGGCAAGCCTGAAAACAATTGCAGGCACTATAAACTTATCAATGGCGGGAGCCCAGGAGAAAACACGAATAACCTTATAAGAAAGAACAACAGCTCTCTTCAATTCTTGTTATGTCCGCTGTTTCTTCATTACGATGAAAAAATAACAACTAGACCAACTCTTGACGTTGCTGGAGATAAAGCGTGTTTCTTTTTTTTTATTTTTATTTTTACGCTCTCGACGTTGGCTGGACGAGCTGGGTTAACCATAATGAATCTGAGCACTATACAATAACATATATTCACGATTTCTTCTTATCGGAGGGGGAACATTCGTCAGAGGTGGTCTTATGAAAACAAGTTCCGGACGAAAATATCTAAACATTATATTCAATACAGAATTTCACGATTACAGAACAAATATTAAAAATCCCGCTTTCGTCTATAATCAGGGTTCTGCCTTTTCCACAAATACCAATAAAAAATATTACCACCAAGCCTGCTTAAAAAAAAAATCAGAGAAGCCGAAAAAAAAAAAGAATCTAAACTAAACTTCTTAAAAAAGAAGAAAACAAACACGAGTTTTACTGAAATAATATTTTGCAGACAGCTTTAGGTTATGTCGACCACCCCCTGCACCGAATCCTCGCGGCTTCCTTTTTCTCGAACCGTCGTCGCACTGCTAATGCCTCGCACAAAAGACACGCTGTTTGCTGCAGACATGTTGACAGATGTATCTGCGGGCACGCCTTAGTACTTTGACTCTTTTCACGCCTTAGTAATCTTCGAAGAATGATTTCTTCTTACATTTGTATGCTTCGAATATGCATGCAGACAGTTTTTGCGTGTAACCTGTGTAACAGGACCGCCGCCACACAAGGAAGAAACACGTCTCAAAGAGTGCCTTTAAACTGCCTTTTGTATGATGTATTAGCAATTGCGGCCTCCTTTTTGGGGAACCACGGTCTTCGTCTGGATTTCTTTTCTCAACTGTACCGCAATGTTTTCCAAGTTTTACGGTCACGCGTCGTTACCCTGTGAGGTTGGACAGTTCTACGTCCTTGCCCCTATTTTCTTAGGAAGAAGCCCGACTGAACGCCGATTTTTCCATAAGGAAAAAAAAACACAAGAACAGAGACTGGGAAAAATCAAACTAGAATAACGGACAAATGCACTCACCGCCTCGCGACGGAGTGCGTATTTGTCCGTTATTTTATCTTTCCCAGTCCCGGATGATTTTTTTACGGATTTAATGCACCAGTTAGCCAGCGCATCTCGCTTTACTTGGCTGATTTTTTGCTCGACACACATCAACCGGAAAAAGAAAACAACAGAATTTGTGGGAAAGGACATACCCTGAAAACCACCGCTAAATTCGAACAAAGATAAATTCTCAAAACAAGGAACTCTATTTTTGTTGTATACAGGGTAACATGTATCTAGCAACGTCTACGCTCGCGCATTACCACAGAGCTGGATGCGCTGTACAGCGAATCAATGAAGCCGTCAAGTAGGTTGATCAGAAATATGGGAAGCATCTCCTTCCTTCTGAGCCTGTCCACTGCATCCGTGCAGGCGTCTTCCCAAGCGTACATCTTGACCAGTCGCACCGAAGAAAGAACGTCCGAGAGACGTTTCAAGCGTTCGTCGCGGTACACCATGATTTGCCGCTGAAGTAGAAAAAGAAGAGAAAGAAGCCGAACAATTAGGCGTGCAACGCGCGGGGCATATTTAAAGACGGTTGTAGGGATGAGTAGATCAATGTGTTCGTCAGTAGCCATAATGAAGTAACGCCTGAGCATGACGTCATTGTTAGTGAATTTCCGACCCACCCTAAGTGGCAGACGCGCTAAAGCTCAACAAGAAGCGCTGGAAACCGGCAGTCGCCATCATGTTGGCCTCACCACGTGATAGGCCTTTCGCCCTGAAGCATTAAATAAACTGTGGCGCCTTCATTTTGGCTAGCAAAAACTGGTCTGACTTGGCCTCGCATTAACTTGTGCACCTTTGCTGAGCTTTCATCTTTCTCTGTAGTGCACTGCTTGAAAACGAGAAGCACCTTTCGACGTCCTAAATCGGCTGGGGTCAACGCCGTAAAACAATCGAAAGTGCCGGATTCATGCCACCAGAGCTTTGGTACGCGTCTCTTATCTCTTCGCGGTGACGCCGGAGCATCTGGCGTCTCGACGGTTTTTTTTCTTTAGAACGCGTGAAACGGCATGTTTTGGCTCAAGCTCGTAGCGTCCTAGCTTTGACCCATGCTTTGACGGTGTTCGTATGCTTTTTTTGTGTGTGTATTTTCCTCGTGATATCGCGGTCCGCGCCAGAGCAGGCACGCTTCTACATCTGTGGCAGTTTGAGACGCTCATGTTTGTACTACCTAAAACAAATCCTAACGAGCCGCTTTTTGCAGAGCCAACTGGGCAGCGCAGGAGTCCTATGGGCACTGAGAGAGCGATTAAAAATACGGAACGCGACGTACAGCAGAAACGCTACCTAAAAATATCTGATCTTGCCCGCCAGGGGCGCTGTTCGAAACTTGAGCGCTACAGGCCTATTGAGTCGGTAGAGTCCGAAAATGCCCTTGTGTCGGCCATTTCGCTGAACATGATTAAGCATTGACCGAGCCAATCACTGCGATAGATAGGGTGTTATCAAAATCGGGGTTCGTTTTAAAATCAACCGGAAAATCAGTGTCTTCGCACAGCTATGTCAATATTTATTCAAAAGCGTATTTTCATGGCGGATTTCGCCTTGTGAAATTTGAGGCGTTGATCCCTCCCGGGAAAAGTTAGATCAACACTTTCCACGAGGTCAACGGCAGACTGCCGTGCTGGCAAAGCCATCTCCCGATAGGGAAATGACGCCAGAAGGAATTTTATGACGTCCTCGTGGATAGCCAACGACACCGTCGTCTTGTAACTGCACCTATCAGGAGACTGCGCCACAAGCAAGAGTGTAGAATAACTTGGTCGTTTTGAGCCGTCGTTAATTTTAACATCACACTCTGTTACCGGAGTAAAGGTTTCGTACCTTCATATTAGAAAACCTATCTGCGTTCAGTGTTCCTCTGTTTGTGCTCTCGTGTGATAGCCCCCGCGGGACTCTAAGTTCGGTTTCAATTGTGCCCTCTCAGCGTAACCGGCAACGACGGTGTGTGTGTTCAAAGACGGTCTGCTAATATTACGGAACGACACACACAATACTCAGCGATTGATAAAACAGTTATCAAAAGTCTTCTTCGACCCTATGCCAGGCTTGCTCGGATTGAGCTCGGCCTACTGAAAAAGGGACAATTGCGGTTTTTTTTTTTTTTTTGTGCAAACGCAAAAAGGGGGGGGGGGGGGGGGGGGGATGTGGCCGCGATAGCGTCTGTAGCGCGATCATCAGGTTAGTAAACAATACATTGATTAAAAACGACTAAGGCAAGGCTTGCTGCCCATCAGCTGCCTCACATGATGTGCACGAGAAATGGCTCTACCAGGAGTGACACCACGGCGCCACCGTCTCGTCGCACTGCTCCCATATAGTATACACAAACCCAAATGGCGTTCTGGAGCCTCGCCACTGGAATGATGAGGAGAAGCGATCCCAGCATCCACGCTGCGCAGCAGAGCGCCGGGTCAGTTCCCACGCGAGCGGCCAGGAGGTAGACTATCAGCGGCATGACGAGGACGCCGACCACTTCCGTGGGCATCTGTGTGATGCTCATGGACAGCTGCATGCAGTCGACGCCGAGGACAGAGACCAGGTAGCCAGACGGGTTGGCGCATCGGCTCGTCTGGGAGAGCCGGGTGATCTGTGCACGTGGACCGTAAGGTCGCATTCACAACGCTCGATCAGACAGTTTTTCATTGACTCATGTGACAGGACCGTCATTTACGAGGAAGAAACAAGACTCAGACAGTGCCCGTAGACTGTCGTTTTGTACGCTGAATTAAAGGCGTGAGCGGGGCTTTAGACATTAGCGCCCGTACACTGCGGTGCCAGGAACACGTCTTGGACTAGTTCGTGTACAGCCCACGCATCCAAGGCGGTTTCGATTTGAAAACCAATGTTGTCACAGGAGCCGGGCGTGTCACACTGCCGGACAGGTCGCAATCCCGGTGGTCGGTCGTAAACACGCTGACGATGAAAAAAGGTAAAGAGACCCGAGGGTCACTGTCGGTGCAGCGTCCCATCCCACGCCTCTTTTAGTTTCCGCCGACTGTGGGACTGCAAGTTAAGCAGCAGTAGAGCAGGCGCCTGCCGCCTCTGACTCTGTGTGCAACCGCCAGGATCGTGGCAGGCAGCAGCATGACACTTTTATGACGTCATCGGGCGAAAATTGAGGGGCGATCCTCGAGGCCGCGGTAGACCCACCAGTCGGAGACTCGGCCCCATGGTTATATGCCTAATATTCAGGTAAAAAATCCACCCCCGCTGCATTTAGCAGAGGCATTGCATTCCTCTCGTTGCGCTTAAGTATCTACTCTTTCTTGTATAAAACTCTAGCCATATAAATATTCCGTGTAAAAAATATAACCACTGAAAAAAAAAAATTTATTACTAAACTATATCTTTCACTTTTGTTGAGACACGCTTACTGTACCTGGTAGTCATGGCTCAGGAAGCCGGTATTGCTCGCTTCTAAATTTAGTTCCGGTTCTTTCACTCGCGGGATTAATCGGGAGTCTGCAAACGTACCTTTCTGAATATCGCCGCCTGCAACATGCTGCGAACGCGAAGTCCCAACAAAAAAGCCAAGTGGAGCTGTTGGCAGGCCATGAAGGATTCAGCAGCCGTGGTGGCCACGAATAACAACGATAATTGGCCCCGCTCCGCGTCACAGCTGGTGGCGGTAAGGCTTCTGAAAAACAAACCGGCAAATGTCGTTAGGTCGACTATGCCTAAAAGGGAGATTCTTGACTAGGTAGGCGCAATTGGATTCAGCTTTTATTTAAAACAAATATGCTTATCGCTTGTACTGCTCAAAATTCGCAACACCGCAGGAATCCGCAACACCGCTGCCTAGTATTAAACTAGGCGTTATAAGCAAATAGTCGCGAAGTTAGCAACATTGGTGCCTCCATTTTGATACAACTGCAGGATTTTTTTTTTCATTCTCATCCTGGCGACCTTTAGACACTTGAAATAAGAAACTGTGAAATACATATCAAAATTCATCGAAGCAGGCTCTTTGTGCGAATCTCTTTGTGTTAGCCCCTATAGATGAGTTTAGGCTAGATCAAGCGGCTCGAGAGTTTCCAGTTTTAATGCTTTAGATAATAGCTCACAAATTCACAAATTTTATTGTCATCGGGCGTTCGAATCAAACAAAAAAACTTACCACCGTAAACTGTATGAGCGCGAACGTCGGAGCGTATGACGACAGAGTGAAGAGGGGAAAGGGGGATGCAAAGGACAGTGCGCTTAATCCAATGTGTACACCCTCGTAGCTTCCATCTCCATTCTATACTTTTATCAGCCTCGAGATAGCTCAGCATGTATCGAAGGCCAGGCGCTCCAGCGTTCCCGCTCATACTGTTCACGACACTGCCATAAAGGTATTTGATTATTCCTCATTTAGCCCCGAGTTACGTTCGTGGTCTGAGATTTCTCGAAGGGCGATAACCAACATTGCCCTATACCTTAAAAGCGTGGCCGATCAAGAATCAAATGACTACAGTACGTAAGGGTACGAAATTTCAAAGGCTATGAGACGCACCTAAAAGTTTCAAGGCTAAGCAGGCGTGAAGGTTTATTAATAGGCACATTCACATTTGCTCACGCCGCTAAAGAAATAGGTGGCTAAAGGCCGGGTGCACCAACGACGTTTACCTTAACCCAAAGCGGCTGTTTTCTAAGCCGGCTCAACGTCCAAAACAGAGCTCGGCTAAGCACGGTTTTAAATTCCGTTTGCACTAACATTAATTCGGGTTTACAGTCGGGCCTGCAGCCAATCGCTGGCTTTGCGTGGGGAGTGTAAAGACAAACAGAGCGAAGCTAGGGAACGCTCAGAGGGACGAATACGATTGGCGGAGAGCCATCACGTGATGTAAACAAACGTTTTTCCCCAATGGGCGGTGTCGGTGGCTCTTTTTCGCTGGGTTTCCTTTTCTTGAGTAGCAAACTAAACATTCCCGAATTCTCTCCTCTTTGAGTAAACCTTTCATAAAGACCGTTCAGAACCCTTCCTGGCTGGTCTGAGGCCCTCCAAACAGCGACTGCCCCACCACCAAGAGGCCCACCCGTATATATAAAGGCAGGCCCGCTGGCGGTGGCCCCCTTGTTTCTATGGATTTGTGAGGTGGAGGCGAGAAAGGCCGTTGGCGGGGTTACGTTGAGTGCAAATCCAGCTTGCCTATGCTTTTTTACAGTGGGAACTGCGGCCGCAAGTGCCTCATACTGACAAATGTGGCGGTCGTGACCGCGGTTGGGTGCGTGGACGACTGCCTGGTTGTCACAGTGCACCGTGGTTGGCCGAGGGGCGAGCAGGGAGTCAAGATGAACTGCTAAGAGTTCCCGGTGGCAGACGGAGCTGAGTGAGGCCGTAACGAAGGCTAGGTTGCCTGCCGGAAGGCACAGTCCGAACCCCGTATTACCTGAATCGGCGTAAACGTCGTGACCATGGATGACAATGGACAAGAGTTTTGTCTGGGGCAACGTGGTGTAGGTAGTGGCAAACAAGCGTGTCTAGGCAAGGTGGCGGCTTGCCGGTAGCTGCTGTCAGATATACTGGGCGAAGGGCATGGCACTGGGTGATAAATAAAGAAAAAATAAAAGCACTAAAGTCCAGCTAATCGTTGATAAGTTTTCTGGTTCTGGGAGGTTTAGAGGACGCGGAGGGTTCGTAAAATGTCATGTTTGCGGGTAGGGGTATGGCCGATGGTCGCTGAGTATGAAGCCAGGACGAAACCGAAAAACTTGATGGTAGTCTGCGTGGGGACCGGGGTATTTCTCTCGTTGATTTTGATCCTCTCTTGTTTTAGTTGGTGTTGAGGTTGGCGGGCCTCTGTTGCCTAGTATGTATCGTCGGGATCAGCGAGAAGAAAGTTATTAAGGATTGTAAGCAGTGAGAAAGTGCAGGCGAGCTGGTAATCAATCGACGTCTTGTAAACCCTGAAATGGGGAACGATAAAAATTGTTGTGTTCGTCCGTTTTTTTATCGTTCTCCATCTCAGGGTTTACACGATATTATTAAGGAGGAGTGATGGGCAGTATTTAAAATACAAGTATTTGAAATACGTATTTGAAATACTTTGTGTATTTTGCATTTGTATTTAATTACAAATTAAGTAATGTATTTGACGTGTGTATTTAAATACTAAAACGTAGGTATTTCAAATACAATTGTAATTGAATACAATTTTTTGGGCGAAAATACATCCCTCAAATTTATTGTCACTATCCAGAGCAGGAAGGAAGCTACGTTCTGCACCGAATGCAGTGTCTCTCAATCAAGCCCAAGCGTTTAGTGACTTTGTGATTACGGTGCTAGTCCAGGGAAAGAATAGTGAAGAAATCGACGTTCACCGGCAGACTGGCTAAAAAAGTGCCTGTGACAACTTTTGATGCTTTCCAGCCAGATATACGTCCCTATTTTTGCCTGGAACATTCTAAATGTGCGGGTCGTCCAGATTTTCGTAACTGGTGCAAGTTGCAACAATAAAAAATTCTCTAGTTAGTGCTGCGCGTCTTGGTCGTCTCGGTTCTTTGTTGGTCTAAACCAAAATGTAATCGACAAAAAAAGCTGCTTGAAGCTCATTACTTTTTTCACCTATTACGTCCAAGCTGATTACATTTTTTTGTGATTATATTTCTACTACGTTACTAGAGTTTCGCACACTAACTCCCGAGTGTGCAATTCAAAATTAAAATGAGATACCCAGAAACCCGTTGCAGGTGCCCTGAAGTCGCTGACGCAAATTTTGAGGAGTGTATTTGGAAAAGTATTTGGAGATCAAATACATTTGGTTGTATTTGTATCTTGTACTTAAATGCTTTTTTTTTTTTGGAAATGTAGTTAGATTTGTAATTAAATACATTTTTGACGAAGTATTTTGTATTTGTATTTCGATACATATTTGCATGTGTTTTGCCCATCCCTTTTAAAAAGTACCAGGCTCGGAGCCCCCTAACTTGAGCCTCGCGGGTGATGGCAGTAGCGAAACTCTGCATATAGAAGGGCGCTGGCCGCACGCCGAAAGGCAAGACGCGGTTGTGATAGTAGCGGCCATCGAGCCTGAACCGAGTCCGGTAGCGGGCCGCCGAGGCTAGGCCGTCCTCACATCTTTGGGCATCAACTACCACCCAACAGGGCACAGTGCGCGAGGCTGGCTTCCAAACGAGCTACGCGAGCAACTAAAGATTTCGCCTCTGCCTCGTCACATGCATCCAGTGCACGACGCAGGCAGACGCATGGCCAGTGTTTATACCCAAGCCTGGGAAAAAACTTCAACTGGAAGCCCTGCGCCCCCATTTCGCTCACGTCCTGTCTCGGGAAGGTCTTGGAGCATGTCGTACTCAATCGCCTTAAAGGAGCGATGCAACAATTTTTGTACTGTGCACAAATACCGCTTAAATCGGATCCCTAACGTTAATGACCTATGAAACACGCGTTCGTTTTTCACCCCACGTAATAGAAGTCCCAGAAAAAAATTTAAGAAAAACGAGCGGCGTTCACCCCCTCAACTCGCAGCCAGAACAAGCGGCCACGTGATCTGGAGCCGATTATATGCCGCCAGTGTTGATCATAGCCACGCGCAGGGGTTGGCAAAGCGCAGGACACGCGCTGAGTTCCAGACATTGTTATGGCTCGGCTGTTGTCGTCGTTGCAGCGATTGGACACGGGTCACAACCCGAATGCTTCTCGAGCTAGCAATTGTCACGAGCCCAAGTCGAGTGCCCACGCAATGCTCGGGTCCAATCTATGAACCGCATTCAAATATCGTCACTTGGGTGCACTGGGATCCCCGAGTTACGTCATCAAATTTTGCAAAGGAGAGATTGAATGAAAATGATCGCTTTTGTCCTTGAAATTACACCACAACAAAGGAGTTTCTTGGCCAATGGTGTTGCGTGTGAGTATCCTGGAGTCCGAGGTGTGCCAGTAAGCTAGTGTAGAGAGAAAAACATTCCAATTGAATATCGTTGCACAGCTCCTTTAACAGGTACGCAGAGGCCAACAAAGTCTTCGCGGACACGATGGTCGGGTTCAGACCCAAGCTCTCGACGCAGGACGTGATGCTCCGACTGTATCATCAGATTGTGGCAAGGGAATACGCACCCAAAAGGGACACCAGAGCCATACTCGGGCTGGACATCTCCAAAGCATTCGACAAATGGTACAAAATGTAGCGTAAGTCTAACTTTGTAAAGTAAGGGCTATGCGGGAGAGGGCACTGGTGCAGGGAAACCGGTACGGGTTGTAAGCGGAGGCGGGGACTTAGCGGCTACGATGTAAGGTGACTACAGTCGAGGGCGAGGCGGTTTTTGGTGAGGGTCTTCGGGACCAACTGGATGGATGGGTTCGCGGACCGTCCCTTCGGTACCCCCTGCCTGGAGCATGGACGGGCCGCGTCGCGAAGTACAGGTAGTTAAATCGACGGAGGGAGGCGCGCTTTGAAGGCGCCGTTGCACGGAAAAGTGAAGCGCCGCCGGGTTAAATGGGTGACTCTCTCTCACCGGAGAGTGGGGTGGTCCTGTTAAATAGACCGCGGAACGTCGGCTGTCGTCGTCGTCCTGTTCCAAATTGTTGTCGGAATGACGGTCGGCGGCATTTTTGT